CCCCGAGTGAAGCCAGAACAGGAAGAAGGGCAAGCGCGGGCGCTGCGAACACGAGACCAAGGCACTGCAGCGAAGCTCGAGCGGACATTCACAGTCCTGGCGCGGGCTGGCACATGCGCAGTGCCGCGGAGCGGCAGCGCGGCGGGCGGTGGGAGTTGCACTCCCGTCCCGCCTAAGCCTTTAGCGCTTCCTGCAGCAGGGAGCGGAGAAGAGGGATGGAAAGGCTGCTCTGCTCTGTCCCTCGCTGTTACGCCGGGTCTTCGTCGTGGGCCGCCCCCGCCGCACCTCTCCCAGGCGGAACTCTCGGCCTCTGGTGCCGAAATGCCTCTGATGTGAAGAGCCGCCAGAACAGAATCTCGGCCCCGCGGTGCGCTCCGTTTGCTGTGCCTGCGCCGCGGAGCTCCCTCTCTGTCCCTCCCTCCTGCCAGGGCTGTGCAGGACGGCAGCAGCCACCGCCCGAACAACAGTGGGACAGCGGATGGTGTTTTTCCTTGCCCTCCACATTAATTTAGCGGTGTGGGAGTTCACCCTGACGTTCAGTCCTTTCAAGGTGGAAGAGACGGGAGCACTGCTGGCACAGTGACCCCTGGCCTGCAGCGAGGCATTGTGCTGGAGAGCCACGGCCAAAACCATGCCAGGGAGCGTGCTGGCAACCCGCGGGTGTGGGCGATCGCCTGCCAGCACAGGCCAGCCTGGCTTTGGTTTTTGTTTGCCTCTGTAAACGTGACCTCTCAGTTGCTTCCGCTGAAACAGTCTCGCAGTGATCACAGTTACCAGACTGTCACTAGACTGGAAATAATCCATGAGTCCTCAGCTGTGTTCAGGTACTAATTCAAGATGAGAGTTCTGGGCTCAACATAATCTGCCATCAGTGGAAGCATTCGTTATTATATATTGTGTTATTATCTAACAAAGAAGACTCTAGTAACACTTGCACACTGATAAATAGAATAAGCTATACTTTTAATTTCAAAAGTGACATGCTTGTTGATTGAAGTAAAAGCACCTGGCTGTATATGTATCTGAAGTGGAGCCAAAACCTTGCCTTGACAAAAAACACTTGACACTTCCCTGTTGGCTGATTTGGATTTCTTGCTCAAGGTAAAGTCCCACTTGGAGGCAGGTGTGCAACTCTGGACTCATGTCCAGGGATGTTAGGTCCAGAAATGAGGTTCAGAGCATTAGTTCTGTGTTTAGATTCCCTGGATTACCCTAAGAGCAGCCAGTTTAAGCTTGTACAAACACATTTGTTATTACCATGTAATGTCATGCGTAGTCTGTTACTTTACAGAACGCAATAGTGGAGTAATAAGCTCTTGTAAACAAAAAACTCACAAAGACACCAACATCCCAGACTAAACAACCTTAGCATCTGCAAAAGGCAGCTCATCATGTTGTCTAACATTTGTGGTTTTTTCACTAAATTTATCATAGCCAGAAAATCAGATTGTTTGGTGCCCATTTTTCTCCCAAGTCACTCTTCTTTCCTAGCATTAATTCAATGAATGGGAAAAATTGCTCAGCTCATACTGATGACCAGGATTAGTATTTATAGATATTTGGATTGGCTAAACAACAGTGATCGGGACCTACTTGCAGAGTACCAAAAAGGAAGATAACAAGGGATCATCTCATCAGTATGCACTCAGTTTGTACTGAGAAGCCATTCATGAGAGGGAGAAAGAACAGGTGACATGTGGATGGATCAAAACATGACTGTTCAGAGCATTAATGAATAAAGATGCAATGAGACTATCTGCAGCTTCCCATCTCCATGCTTTGATTGCTACTGAACTGACCAAGATGCTGCATAACAGCAATGAGAAAAAAATGTGTAGAGAGATGTTTCCTTTTGGACACTGAATTTATGTTAGAAGAAGGATGTAGAGTGTCAAGATCTTGGTGCTTGGTACCAATAATGCCTAGTATTGAAAATATCTGTCAGGATTTTAAGAATCACTGTGGACCTGTGATCTTCAAAAGTTGTTATGTCATTACAAAGTAATGTAACTAAGAAGGTTCTTGTGCCATGCAATCTCAGAATGGGCACAGTGAACAAGCAGAAAGAATAAATTAGTCAGATGTGTCACAAAAGTATCCCAACAGCAATAGGGTGCTATGAGTATATGAAGTCTCATGAATATGTTGGAAGAAGCAAGGAAAATGCAGTAGTTATATATTTAATACAATCCTGACCAAGTTGTTTCTCTGTTCCACCAAGGCCCACCACATCAAATATGAGCTCTTTGGGTTTGGGGTTTTTTTTAAGAGAAGTATTATCCAACAAATATGTATAGTAATTATGAATAATGTTGAGCCCATTTGTTGGTTTTGCAACAGAAGGCAAAATTAACCCCAGTGTTTCGCATTCTTGGCATTTTACTGGGCCACCCTTGTAAATCTGAACACAGCACTGCAGCTCTGGCAGTACATGGTCAGCTTTGTCACAGGGAGCTGTATTAGACCTATGAGGGAAGTGCAATAGCACCTTGGATACCTTGGGCTGTTTCTGGAGGTGGCCACATCAGTGCCCCATCATTGCTACTTTGATCTTGTCAGAAGCTGAGGTACTGAATTTGGTACACACCCAGCTCCCAGCTTTGGTCTCCCAGTACATGACAATCCAGATGCTAAGAGGATGGTGCCAGACTCTTTTTGGTGATGCTCAGTAATAGGACAAGAAGCAGTGGCCATAAACTAAAACATGAAAAGTTTCACCTCAACACGAGGAAGAACTTTTTTTACACTGAAAGTGGCAGCTGCCTGGGGAGGTCGTGGAGTTTCCCTCTCTAGAGACATTCAAAACCCACCAGGACATGCCCCTGAGTCACCTGCACCAGCTGACCCTGCCATGGCAGATTGTCTCCAGAGGTTCCTCCCAACCCTAAGGACTCTGCGATTTCCTGAAGGTGTTTCTCCTCACTCCAGAGACCACCTCTACACGGGGCTCACCTGGAGCACACGCACCTGGCGCCTGGACAGCACGATGAGAAACAATTACCGACCTTGTTCAGCTCCAGCCTCTTGGACGTGCTAAACGTGCCAACGCACCTGAGAGGTCTCCTTTGCCTTTTAGCAAATGGGGCTTCCAGAACGAGCTGGTTTGTGCTGCGACCTCACACACCCCATCCCCCATGCCGCAAACAAGAGCTGATTTAGGTTTTTAAAATACTATTATTAGTGGGGGGAGGGAACAAAACCAACCAATTAAAAAAGCCAAGCCATACAAAAACCCGGTGGGCTTTTCTGGTAGTTTGGCCTCTCTGGCGGCCCGTAGGAGGCCTCGGCGCTGCCGTGAGCGCGGCGGCCGCGCAGGCGCGGCGGTGCCGGGGTGGGTGAGGG